GGCGGCGCGACCCCGCGGCCTCCCGCTAGCGGAGCGCTGGCCCTGTGAGGCTGGGCGGGCGGGCCGGAGGTCTCTGCGGCGCCGTGTGTCCCTGAGAGTCCGCCCGGCCGTGGCGTAACCCGGGGCCGGGTAGGTAGGGACGTGGAGGGCAGGAGGGCGCTCCCCGCCCTGTGCAGCCGAGAGCGGGCCGTGCCCGCGGAGGGTGGGCGGACCCGGGCGCGCCTCCTCCCCTGCCCCGGACCCCGGCCGCCGCGCTCGCGTGGGGAAACCTGGGCGTTGCTGTCGTCGTGTGGCTCTGCTTTGGGTGTGCAGCGGGTTGCCTGGGCTGTGAGCTTTGCGCACAGTTGAAGTACGTCTGGCTGGAAAAATAGGTAGAGACGTAGATTTCGTACTCTTACGTGTTTGCATACGAGCTGCATTCACCGTGAGAAGCCGGGGAGGCCGGGTTTTGTTCGGGCCTGAGATCCGTAATAGGCGCTCGGTTCATGTTGAAATGATGAACTGAAGTCACCTGAAAGTAATTCTCCCCGTTACCCGTTACCCGCCTTAGGAGTTTGGGAAAGAATGAGGTTAAGAGAACTTTCTAAGCCCACTTGGGTGCGGAGCGGTAAAGTTCAGTGTCCGGACGAAACGGGTGTTGCAAGAGATACTCATTTTTAAGATCTTACTTGTATAGATTTATGACAAACCAGCCACAAGAATTTCTTAAGCGCGTGGAAATCATTCTGCCCAAAGCCTCAGCCTTTAGGGAGGTCACCAAGTAAATGGGAAAATAACCCAAGAAATACTATTTGGTAATTGTCAATAGTGTTCAGCTCTTAAATATGCATCCCGTTTACATCTTGACAGTAACTCCGGTATGCATGGGTGCATCGAACTTTGCTTTCACCTTGACCACTGTGGTTTTTCTTGAAAATTGTGATCGTAGGGATTGGCTTTGTCTTAAGCACGGTTTGCAGTGTGTTCAAGTCTACTCAGCTGTTCTCATTATATCTTAAAATGTTTGCCTAATTTTTCTAAGTGCCATCTTTTTGTCTAGATTTTCCCAGTGCTTTCAGGTCCATGTAAATAAAACGTGAAACATACGTGTGCTGTTGTGTTAGGCAGTGATACTTTATGCTGCTGGTTTATCCTTTGTCAGAGAAATATAACTAATAAATTTACTCACCTGAATAATTTGGAAAAAGTGCTACATGTTCTCTATGTACGCCAGAAAATTAAATGATTTGGTTGATAAGTCTTCAAATTGCTGGTCATGTAACATGTTCTTCCTAAATACTTGGCTGTGCTGTTTTATAAAGACGACTTGTGGCTTGATAATGTCATTTAAAGATTAATTAAGGCAGCAATTAGGTGGCTAGTCTTCACTTTAATCTACGTTGGAGATAGAATTTACAGATTTTGTAGTCTTCCCTTCAAAGCAGAGTCCTTGTGCTAACTTTGCTTTGGTGACGTTATATAACTTATACGCTTACCCAGACCCAACCTTGTTTTCATCTCTGTCCACATAAAAACATTGGCAAATTTTGGCTATTTAAAAAAATATTCTTCCAGATGTATGTTCTTGAGGGGCCAGGGATATAGCTCAGCGGCATAAGCGCTTGCCTGGCAAGCCTGAGGTCATGAGTTCGATTCCCGGTACCAAAAAAGAAAGCAAAACAGGTGTATGTTCTTTTGTGTCCTTACATGATTTATCTGTTTGTGGTACGGGTCCTTTTATGCTGAGCTACATTCCCAGTGACCTTTTTATATTTTTTATTTTGAACAGGATCTTGCTAAGTTGCCAACTTCCCCAAGCTGGACTTGAATTTATTATCCTCCTGTCTCAGCCTCCCAGAGTGCTAGGATTGCAGGCTGTGTGTCACCGTGGCTTTATCTTACTTAGTTTTCATTTTTCAACCGCTCACTAGCCTTAACTGTGTTTTTTTGCCTGGTTTTTCTGTACTGAACTCATCCTCCCTGCTGCTAGATCTTTTTTTTTTTTTTGGTTTTTCTCCGGTACGGGGAACCGAACTCACGACCTTGCGCTTGCCAGGCAGGCGCTTTTGCCGCTGAGCTAAATCCCCAGCCCCTGCTAGATCTTAAAATAATCGTTTGAATATGTCTCTCTCTGTTGAGAAACCAGCTACATCAGTTACTTTCAGAGCATACACAGTTCAGTAGTAATAGCCTTGTGAAAACCTATTTGTATGATGCCAACACTTACTTCTCTGACTACCCTAGCCATTTATATTTTTCAGTCTGTATCATACCTGTTGAAATTTTGAATGTGCATGGACTGCCTACTTTTTTTTTTTTTTTTTTTTTTTTGTGGTACTGAGGCTTGAATCCAGAGCTTTGGTACTGAGCTAAATTCACTGCCTTTTGTATGTTAAATTTTGAGATGGATTCTCACTGAGTTGTTAAATTGCCCAGACTGGGTTTGAATTTGTGATACTTCTGCCGCAACCTTCCAGAGTGCTGAGATTAGTGTGCCACTATGTTCTACCACTGCCTACTGTAGTACTTAAATCAAAAATTTCCCTCTAAATTACAAAGTGGTTGGGTGGGGGAGCCACATGCTTGTGATCCCAGCCCTGAGGAGGCTGAGGCAAGAGGATCACTCTTGAGTTTGAGGACTACATAGTGAGAATGAGAACCTGTCTCAAAACCCCCACAACTCCCCAAAAGATTACAAAGTAAATTTTTCTTTCACTTTTGATCCTTTAACATGACATTCCAAACATTTCTTCTCTAGGTGATGTTACTTTTCTTCGACTCCTTGGTCCTTTTTTTTTTTTTTTTTCCATTCCCTTGGTTTTAAAGTTTATGTGAACTTGTATCATGGTACCATAGAACAGTACTGCTATAATGTTGGAATCCACCCTTTTTTATCAATAGGGAAATCCGTGTATAACTCAAATTCACATATTGTTGTGGGGGCACAGCTGAGACTCAAGCGTTTTTCCTTCAAATTTTGTATATTTGTGAAACCATACTGCTGCTATTTATTTCTTGTAGTATAACTTTGTATTTTGTTTCACATTACTTTGCATTTTGTATGTTTATGTCTAAAGCAGATTGAAAGTTTCTTAAGGGCAGGAGAACTTGCAAAAATTAAACAATGCTGTAAAGTCTGTATAAAACCTTTAAAATATATTTTTCAGTGCTTGTTGTGTATTAGTAACATTAACAGAAATGATGCATATTATCATCTCTGCAATGGAGTCCTATGACCCACTAAAATGAATAAATTATTCACAAGTTTTATTATTGAAATTTAGTTTGTGTGAACTAACTCTCCCCATCCCACCCCTTTGTTTTTGTAGCACTGAGCTACATCCTTGGGCCTTTTAAAATTTTTTTCTGAAATAAGAGTCTGGGTGAATTGCCCAGCCTTCCGCAAGCCTGCCCAGTAGCTGTGATTACAGGGATGTGCCACCTATGCCTGGTATGTCTGTAAGGATTTTCTCATAGAGTGAATCTTTGGGGATCTTGTAAATAGCTGCAAAATCATGTAATGGTTTGGAAGAAATCTGGAGCATTTATCACTGAACTAAATATAGTGATCTAAGTATTTTTTTCTTTTTGAATGTTCGAACAGTAACAGTTTCACATTTTGCTACTTTTTGTTCTGTTCATCTGTCAAGAGCCAGCAGTACATCTGCTTGTTGAGCAAAACTTTCTAAAAAATCATGTTCCATTTTGAGGAGTTATTAGCTTTTACATATTCATCGCATTTTCCTCCCTCCTAACTTGAAAGTTTCTGTTAATAAAAACATAAGATTACCTTGTTACCTTGTTACTCTTACATGTAGATGTCAAGATTTAAATGGTGTATGACTGGATAGAAATGTAACAGGTAAAATCTCTGGAGAGAATGAATGCTTCCTCTTTTGGTCCCAGACAGGTTAGAAGGTAGCTATTTTTGTTAATTCTTGTTTGTTTTTATTTATTTAAATAGGTTACCAGCTAAAATAAAACTGCTGAAATGGCCATTCTCTTGTTCCTTTTCCCTAAAATCATACTTAAGGATGGGTAAATTGGACATGAGTTTGATGGGAATGATTTCTGCTACAATTTAAAGAATCAGCTTTTCAAAAATTTCAGCACAGCTGGGCATGTTGGTACATACCTGTAATCCCAGTACTTGGGAAGCTGAGGCAGGAGGTAAGTTTGAGGTCAGCCTGAACTGCATAATGAGACCCTGTCTCGAAAAGCAAAACAACAAAATTTCAGCACATACGGTATTTGCCAACTCACGTTGCTGTGGAGAGCAGTTAAAATAATAGATATAACAAATAATTCGATATGCTGCACTTCATAAAAAGGAACCCAGCCATATTGCAGAAACATTATTTTCTGTGGTATAGGTGACTGAACTCAAAGCCTTGGCCCTGAGCTATATACCCAGTACTTTTTCGGTTTTTAAATTTTGAGACAGGTTTGTTAAGTTGCTAAGTTTTCTGACCTGGGCCCACACTTGTGATCCTCCTGCCTCAATCTCTCAGAGTGCTGGGACTGCAGACATGCACCACCATGTCCAGTTACATTTTATTAATTTAACAGGGCTTTGGAAAATTTTGCTTGGAAATGCTTTATCACTGCCAGACACTACATATTACTGAATAATAAATGAAAAAAAATTAGAATATGATGTGTACAACCCCACCCTATCTCAGTAATTCTGCTTGCAGGCGTTAGAAGTCAGTTACTTTTTCTGTATTTTTTTTCTTTTTTCTTCTTCTTTAAATTTATCTTAAAAATACAAGAAGGAAAACGTATTAACAGACATCCATTTACAAAATAGCTGTATTTTTTTTTTTCATTTCCTGTTCATATTCTTTAAGAAAGCTGTATAAAGCCCTGCATAATTTGGCTTTTGCCTAGTTACAGCTGCATCTTTTACCATTTTCTCTTCTTTGGGCTTTGAACAGTCCAGCCTTTTTTTGACTTGGAACTTGTGAACATAGTCTCCCTCTAGGATAGCAGGCACCCTTAGGTTAGGTTAGGTTAGTATTAAGTGTGGCAGCTAGGAATAGGAAGATGCCAAATAACAGTTTCTCAGGCCAGAAAAATCAGTGGTTGGCATGGTGTTCATTTTTCAATGTTATTTCTAGGTGTGTTTTGCTATTTATAGATAATTACGAAGTAAAGATTGTGTAAGGCTTAAACATTTTTCCTTTTGATAAATTTCTATTGTATTCATTTGAATATTTCAGTTTCTTAAGAACTTGTTTGAAGATGTATCTTAATTTTTTTATTGCAAACTACATTTAAATGCACAAATCAGTGAAATTTTATATTTGTAGTCATACATATAATCACCACCCTGGTCAAGGTATACGTTTCCAGTGCCTGAGAAGGTTCTCATGTTCTTACAATAAAGATT